TTTGCTGAAGATCATTCAACAATGGTTGCAGCAATACATTGACAGGCCAGAGGTTCAAGCCAGATTCAGAAGAGGATATGGAAAAAGGATATCATGGCTAGTATCATATGGATCTTGGCTGAAAGTAGAAATACAAGAAAGATATTTACTTGAGTTTTACTGACCATGCCAAGGCATTTTGAGTGTTTGGATCTTAATAAACTATGAGTAACCTTGAGAAAAATGGGAATTCCAGTTTGTGTTCTTATGGACCTTGTACACGGATCAAGAGGTAATTGGACGAACACAACAAGAGAATGCTGCATGCAATTGCACAGGCGGGTGCTCTGTCTCATTGGAAAGTCCTTTACAGATCTGTACCCTACAAACTCAGGAACTTTGACAAAATTGAGTTTGCACAATTACTGTCATCAGAGGAAAATGGATAGTGCATTGACCATTATACCATTGCACGATCAAAGCTATTTTTGACCAAGGAAATTTTCCGTTTTTGAGTAGATGTTGATAAAAATGAATCCTCCACTTCTGGTCCTTGAGCGTGTTCCTCGGGGACCGGTTGGCTCCATATCTGTCACCCTTAGCTCCTTCCCTGAGGCACGCCCGCTCCCACCCTGGGGGCCACAAGGACGCACCCACACTGAACATACCCTCTGCTCTGGACCTTCACGTGCTGACTCTGAGTGAGACAGCATGTGAGAAGGAGATTTTGTGTATTATTTTTTTCAATATAGTTAAAAATTAAAAAGAAAGCAAAGAAGGCCACGCTCCATCTCACAGACTTTGGGCATGTTGTCAAGAGAGACCAGTCCCCGAAAAGGACATCCTACTTGGTAAAATAGAGAGAAAGCCCTCAATGGGTTGGAGGGACACAAGGACTGCAACAATGGCCTCAACATGAACAGCAATTGTGGGGATGGGCTCGGATGACAGTGCTTGCGTTTTGTTGTCACTATGAATCAGAACCTATTCCACAACCACACCAGCAAGGACACACAAGGAACTGCTTTTAGAGGATGTACCTGATAGGGCAACTGGGGCTAGGTTAGGTGTAGTATTAAGTTAATTGGGGATGGGGGTGAGGGGCCAGCCCCCACCGCTACTACTACCCACAGGTTCAGTAAGCACAATTGTACGGTTGAGATATGTAAGTATTATATAAGTCACCGAGAGCATGAGAGATACAATAATACAGTCAGACACATTACATGGTAGCATTGCTCATCTCAGCCCAGCTTGGTGGTCCACGTGGAGAGAGAGGAAGGGAAGGAGGGCAAGGGAACAAGGGAGAGAGGACTGGAGAGGAGAGGGGGAAGAGAGGGGACCCAGAGAGAGATCTATATTGCTGACCCAGGCCTATATACCTTTTGGGGGCATACATGCCCACTAATTACAGGTAAAGATATACGTCACAGGAAGGGGTTACACTATAGGTTACACAGTAATGAGGAGGTGGTCTAGGGACATACACGTAATAGGAAGAGGAGGGATTAGAGTATACATGTGACAAGATGGGTGGATCCTAGATTTAGGATGGCAGCTTAACTTTGACATGTTCCCTGGGTATCCATAGGAACCATTATCAGTAGGGTGTAAACTCTGCCTATGGAGCCTGTCCATTGTCCCCAGAGGCGGGCGGGGGATGCCTGTGCATCTGACCTCCCCCCACAGTTAGGGAGACTTCCTTGCCAGGGTATAATCTTCATATTCTCTCCCTTTCTCTCTCTCTCTCTCACACACACACACATAATTAGGTGGTTTCGTTGCCTTTTCCAAATGTTTAAGTTTCTCGAAAAACTGGACCACTGTAAGTAGAGAAAGGAGCCCTAGCGGCATAGGGGGTTCACATTGGATAGCTCACCACGCAGTCTGCAGCTCAAACCCCTCCAGCTGCTCCACGGGAGAAAGACCAGGCTTTTGGCTCCTGTGAAGATGTATAGCTTCAGAAACCTAAAGCGGTACTTCTGCTCCATCCTTCAGGTCGCTCTGAGTCAGACTCGACTGGAGGGCAGCGAGTTTTTTTACAGGTAGCAAACAAACAAATCTGTGTTGGAAGAAGTATCGCCAATGCTTAGAAGCAAGGGCAGTGAGACTTTTTTCTCTTTTTCATGTCCTTCAGACATATTATCAGCAGGGACCAGTCCCTGGGGAAAGAGCATGTGTGGTATGGTAGAGGGGCGGTATAGACGAGGAAGATCCTCAAGGGGGTAGATTGACACAGTGGCTGCAACAATGGGTCAAATAGAGAAAAGATTGTGAGGCTGAGGCAAGATTGGCCAGTGTTCCATTCCGTGGTACATAGGGTCTCTATGCGTCAGGACCAAGCCAACAGCCCCTGACAACCACAGATATGTGGTTGTCAGGAAAGTTGGTGACCCGAATCCACTCAGAGGCACCCAGGACCACAGGCCTGGCCAACCACTTTCCAAGGGTCACATCCTTACACGCCTGCCGTGAGAGTTCCTCTGCACGCACAACGGGTCACCATGAATTGGAAGAGACTCCCTGGTCATTACCAACAATGGATGAAGGCACTAGAGGGTGCTCTGTGAACGCATTTGAATAGACCCTTGCTGGCCAGAATCTGTTTCGTAGAAGTGGTTTTAGTTTCCTATATTCGAAAGCTTCATTAATGGTAGACTTGTGTTCATTTTCTCTTCCTAGCCTACATGTATGGAGCTGCCAGCGGAACTGCTTCACCTCAAGGACTTGCAAAAGCAGCGCAGGGAGAGTGCTGTGAAAGAGTATAGGGTGGATGCACAGGGACTTCTGATGAGGACAGTGCTACAAGTCAAGAAACCAGTGGCAGAGACAGCAGACAAGGAGGGAAAAGCAAGAGGTTTCTTACTTTGCAAAAATTCGAGGGTAGCCAGAGCTCCGGAATCTGAAGAAGACGTGGATGTGTTGCAACAAGAATGTAAGAATAAGCAAAGTGAAACAAAGCTGCAGCCTTTACCTTCCCCACAGGGAGCAGAAGCCTGTGAGGCCTCCAGGCACAAAGTCACTTGCCCTGATTCCAATAGGTCAAAGGACCAGAAAACTGCTAAAGGAGGACACACTAAGATACCTAAGCATGAGGCTCAGCCAAGACTCTCTTTGAAAGAGGAGATAGAACGGTTGTTGATGATAGAAAACAAAGATTTAACACGCCCAAAGCAAGATGTTTCATTCTCTCCAAGTGACTCCTTTGACCCTTTAAGAAAAACTATGCATTCCACACTTCCTCCCTGTCCAGCCTTGGAGAAGAATGATTCCTAGATAAATCCTCCTGTAATTCTGCCTTAGAAGAGCAATTTGTTTTTCAGGCCATCCAGTTGGCTCGTTTCCACTGCCATCTGGGTGTTTATTTGGAGCTGATAGCTCAGGACAAAGTTTCTCATTTAAGTTTGGTCCTGCCTCAGCCACAAGCTTCAGGGAACGTATGACCTCCAGCCTCCCTTCCGACAGTGCTAATACTTTGGTTAGGATGGGAATGCATGAGTTATATAACAGAAGAAGCGAAGTTTCTGATTAGGTCGCTATGCAGAAATGTTCCCATAATTTTTGTTTAGAGGAGAATTTAAAGAAGGGAAAAATTTTGGTCTTAGAGTCAGAAAAAATCTACACCTTTTCGATTTTGTTTTTTTGAGTTCTTTGACATTTTAATTTTAGGTTGGTTTGAAGAGATTCCTAAGAACCCTGCCATAAGTCTACAAAAGTTGATGCTTGACACCTTTATCATTCTTTTGAAAATATTCACTGCATTTCAGAATTGTTGACTAACCATGACACCCTTATGTCGTGGATGAGCAATAATGTTACTATTGGCATCAGTAACTCCGTTTTCATTTCTTTTTCTCATTTACTTTTGGACGGTTCTATCTATTTTGCTAACAAAGCAGTAGCTCTTGGATTCCTTATAAGGTCACCAGGAGTTGGACCTGACTCGACTCACAGCAGCAGCACTACGTACACTTGAAGTTTGATTCCATTCTCTTTGCTGTAGTGGACACGCTTTCTGAGGATGACGGGAATCAGATGGTACCAAGCGTTTCTATTTTTAATAAGTGCAAGTTACATTGTGTACAATGACCAATAAACTTGTTTTATCATTAGATCATCTCTCACTTTTCTGGATTGGTGGGAATAAATTGGTAAATGTCTAGACTTCTAGTTCCATAGTAATTAGTAATTTGAAATAGTTCAGGACCTTACTACTTATTATCTTTAGGAAAACTTCTGGACAATCTAAGATTAAGAGCATCCTTAGTCGGTTCTATTCTAAGTGTCATGGAAAGAAGTGTTGTGTCTTCCAAACTCCAGAGTCTGAGTCTAGTCTCAACTAAGCTTAAGGCAGACCTAAGAACCATTGACTCGATCCTGCCTTGTCTCACTCACCTGATCCTTGCTTTAGAAAGCTACTTGGGGCCAAGGTTGTTTCCGGTTCAGTTAAGATAAATACTGATTCAGCTTAAGCCCTAGTTTAGGCTGGGTTCTCTAAAGGAGCAAAACCCAGTGAAGTATACAGTGAACCCTCGTTTATCGTGGTTAATCGGTTCTAGACCCTACCGTGCTAAATGAAATTCCGCGAAGTAGGATTCCTTGTCACGATGCGCTTTGCTTCCTTGTTGAAAGTGAAAGTAGCCATAGCACGGATGTTTTTTTCCTCTTTACGGATGGAGCAAACGGAAGACTCATTCAAGTCGAAATGGCGTGCAACCTCCACGATTTTCTTGCCATCTTTGATCATATCCAAAAGTTTTACCTTTTCCTGGATGGTGAGCATCTTCCTCTGGCGCTTATTTTTATTGTCAGAAGGCTTAGAAGAAGCAGCTCATTTAGGAGCCATCATAGGGCTTAGATAAAATTTCTTAAAAATCGCAAACAATTACAGTACACTGTACAAAAGCAAAAATGTATCTGATACGTAGCTCCGATACGTAGCGATGCAGACAGAAGCGTGTACAGTATGAGCCAATCAGTGGCAGTAATGGCAGAGCATGTGCTGTTATGCAAAAACCGCGATAGAGTGAAGCCGTGGAAGTCGAAGCGCGAAGTGGCGAGAGTTCACTGTATATACATAAATATATAGGGGTGTTCCAAAAGTTCATGGAAAAATAGAATTAAGAGATATTGGACCTTTTCCCCAAACCTTTTGAAGGCCCCTCAAATATGAAGAGAGATTTATTTCAATAAAATGGCTCATACAGTTGTAGAGGCTGACATGTCACAAATCCGTGGGTCAAGTGTCAGATCAGAGGCTTCTCCAGATTCAAAATCTGTGAGGCAGAAGGTGGGCTACTGGCCCATGTCTCAAATCAGATCACAAAGTGTAGGATGATTACATAATGTCTTCCAAACCCCTCGGAATCATGGCCTACTCAAGTTGATAACCTTAATCGTTACAAGCCCTAAATGTGGTTTTTCTAGGGATGAATTCTTGAAATTGAGTTATTTTCTTTTAGAACCATTAAGTTATTGCTATAGCATATATTTATAGAGAGCAAAGTAGAATGTAGCATCCTTTTATTTATTTTTTTTAAATGTGTGGTCTTTTTTATTAATCATTTTATTGGGGGGGGCTCTTACAGATCTTATAACAATCCATAATTCAATTGTATCAAGTGCACTTGTACATACGTTGCCATCCTCATTTTCAAAACATTGTCTTTCTATGTAACATCCTTTTTTTTTTTTTTAAAAAAAGACTCTCTACATAGGTTGTGTGACCTGAAAAAGAACATTTTCTGTTATTCAGCACAGGAACCACTAGCCATATTTAAATTTTAAATTAGGTCGATGAACATAAATGTCCCTCTTTAGTCACACTGAGGACATTTCTAGGGTTCCCTGGTTCTGCATGCCTAGTGGCTTCTGTGCTGAGAAGTTCAAAGATGGACTAGTGTCACCTCAGAAAGTTCTGTACAGCAAGTCAGGTGTTATAGAGCCACTTTCGCTCCCAGGACGAAATGAACCCTTTTGGATCCCTTCACAGTGTTTTCCAAGGGAACTCTTCAGGCCTGGTCCACATTTCTCCAAGTCTTCTTTCTAACCTGGAGTGGCTACCCAAGTTCCCTTGAGACTGTAGGAGTAGCGAACCTTTTCCTGCCAAGGGCCATTTGGTTATTTATAACATTTGAGACCCTACTGGTCAAACATTGAATGAATCCACCTCGAACGTGGTGACTGGCACTGCTTGTCTTTGGCGAGGATGTGTGATGCTATGATGCTAGCCGGTGTCGGCGATTTCATGGGCCTTACGTGGCTCACGGCCAGGGCGTTCCTCATCCCTGATTTAGAAGGTAGGGTCTGCCAAGAAAGAGTGGGGGAAATGCCTGTGTGCTTCAACCCTGTGGCTAGTACACGACGCCATTACTCAGACTTCTGTACTCAGTCTTGCTTCGAATCTTTCGGGTTCTGTTCCAAGCCCATTTTCTTTCTTTCTTTCTTTTTTTTTTTAATCATTTTATTAGGGGCTCATATGACTCTTATCACAATCCATACATACGCCAATTGTGTAAAGTACATTTGTACATTCATTGCCCTCGTCATTCTCAAAACATTTGCTCTCCACTTAAGCCCCCGGCATCAGGTCCTCATATTTTCCCCTCCCTCCCTGCTCCCCCCTCCCTCATGAGCCCTGGATAATTTATAAATTATTATTTTGTCATATATTGCCCTGTCCGACGTCTCCCTTCACCCACTTTTCTCTTGTCCGTCCCCCAGGGAGGCGGTCACATATAGATCCTTGTAATCGGTTCCCTCTTTCCAACCCACTCTCCCTCTACCCTCCCAGTATCACCACTCACACCACTGGTCCTGAAGGGATCATCGGCCCTGGATTCCCTGTGTTTCCAGTTCCTATCTGTACCAGTGTTCATCCTCTGGTCTAGCCAGGCCAAGCCCATTTCTAGTGCGGTTTGTGTGCTATAGTTTCTTAATGGTGGATTCAAAAGCCTTCCTGCCTGGTTTCTCTAACTCGTGGGTTGTCTAGTGTCTAGCTTCTTTCCCACGTCTCCCCTTAACTCAGCTAACCTTTCTGTACATGACCTGCAACTGGAGACTCTTCCAAGTAATCTGACCCTCAGAGTTTCAGAATTGGGAAACAAGGATAAATTGTTTCCCTAAATAAAAACTCAGCAAATGCAGCACTAAGGCTAGAACTAGTATTTCTTGGCAGCTTGCGGAAAAATCATGGCAATGGCTTTACCTCCTGTCTGCCTGTGGGCTTCAGAAGTCCTAACATGACCCAAAAGATTTTAACACCCTACGATCAAAGAGCCCTGGTTACACAACGGGTTGAGCATGTGGGCTGCTAACTGAAAGGTCGGCAGTTTGAACCCACAATCTGTTTAAAAGGAGAAAGACGAGGCTGTCTGCTTCCATAAACATTTACAACCATGGGGAGCTCCGTGGAGCGGTTCTACCCTGTCTTACAGGTTGCTGTGAGTTGGTACCCATTCTATGGCAGTGGACTTGGATTTGGTATAGCTCTATTGTCAGTTTGGACACAAAGTAGTAAGTCCTAGCACAAACTGAGAAGAGGCTTGGGACAAACGGGGACCTGGGGAACACTTGGTTCCTTATGGCTTAGCCAAGGACACTTATCAAAAGGACAGTGATTATAAGTAATACCTTATGAATAATTAAGAAAATACCCCTCAATCACTATCACCTCCTCTTTGCCTTACCAAATGGACATTTCTCTAGTCTCTCTCTCATTCACTGTATCCCAAACCAAAACCTGCTGCCATCCACTCAACGGAGGGGGAACCATAGGGTTCCCAAGGTCACAGTCTTTATGGAAGCCGACTGCAGGACTTCATCTTCCTCCCATGAAGCCGCTGATCTTTTAGTTAGCAGCCATGCACTTGACCATTGCACCACAAAGGCACCTTGGGAGGTAGGGCCGATGGGAAGGGGAACTTATAACGAAAGACTTCCCCCCTTCCCAAGGCTGCTCTTTAGGTTCTGACTGCCGTCTCAAAACCAGGAACTGTCATGCCCCCTTGTTTCTCCATTGCCATCAATAAAGACTGAGCCATGAAAAAAAAGCTCCCAAGAAATCTTTGCCTCCAGATAGCTTCATGGGTGAAGTTTATCAGTTGATTTTTGATAAAGGTGCTAAGGTAATTTAATGGAAGAAAAATGGTCTCTTCAATAAATAGCTGTGGAACAACTAGTTATTTTTGTGAACAAAAAAGTGAAGCCAACCCTTACTTCCCATCATGCTAAAAGAAGTTAGTTTACATGACAGTGTGTGCTAGGTTGGGTTCTCTGAAGAAGCAAGATCAGTGAGGCGTGTATGTGTCCTATAGAGAAAGAGCTTTATAGGAAGATATGGCTTACACAGTTGAAGAAATACCTAAGTCCAGTCGGCTTCAAGTCAGGCTTCCCCTGACTCACGAAAGCTGAAGGACCGGAAGTAGGATGAAGAAGCAGAGACAGCAGGGGTCACAGGCTAGTGGAGGCAGAGGTCTGAGGTCAGTGGCTCCTGGGATCAACAGGAGGCACCACAGGAGTTCCGGGGACCAGATGCTGCAAGATCCAGCCCCAGCAGAAGGCAGAGGGCCAACGTGAGTTCAAAGCACAACTCTGCACGGTTTCTCTCTCTTAGACAAAAAGATTCGTGACACCAAGATGTCACCCGTGTCATTCGGCTGTGATGGAATCCATAGGTTGAGCTCACCCTGCCCTTACCCAGGTGTGTTGGGTTGATGTCATCTTTTAACCACCACAGACATAATGTACCAACGGAAACTGCAAAAATTCAGGTAAAACATGGGATAAAATCTTTATGCTTGGGGGATAGATTAAAATTCCTTATTTAGCACACAAAAACATATATATATATTTATACATATAAATTAATTTCAACCAAATTAAGAAGTTCTCCTCCATGAAAGGTATTTC